ATAGTAAATCCAGCATTTCTGACAAAGTTAACCTGGCCGTTGATCTCGAAAACGACATCCAATCTGTGGTTTACTGGGGCAGGAAATGGCTTGTAAATGTTAATGCCTCCAAAACGAAACTGCTGTCATTTACTGACCATAGAGAAACGTCCCTGCCTCATATCAGCATGGTTGTTGCTCAACTCCATGAGAGCGCCTCTCTGCGCCCTTTTTGATCTCACGTTTTCCACTGACCTGCAAGGAAAGTTGGTTCTCTGTGTCTCACCAGAAGATTTTTCTCGTCTGAGTCCATCTTTCACATCAACATATCTAATATACGTCCATGCATTGAATACTGTTACCATATATGGTCTGCTGACCCTGCTGTTCATCTCGAGGTTCTACCATTTACTCTTGTCTCAATAGTAAATCAGGCATTTTGCCCTTTTTTAAACACAAAAGAATAAAATTCGGTGTTTAGTTAGTGACTAGCAGCATGGCCCGGCGTTGCCCGTGCTTCATTCAAAAATCGTACGACTCATACAGCAATCGCTATGACTTGACTTAAAATATTTTTGCCCTTCCTTGCCTTTAAAGGCATGCCCTTTGCCGTGCTGATGTTGCTACATGCCTTACTTCTTGCCTATCTCACACTGCGGATTTTTTCTAAGCTCTATACTAAACATTAAATCTGTCACGAAAAAAGAACTAAACAAAATGAACACAGAACGATCAGCTTTAAAAAAGGACTCGTAACTGGAAAAACCGAATGAAAAAAGAATGTTAACAACAAATACTTTTTCATACCCAACCCAGTTCTGCGGAATCAGAATCAACATTGAGTTTAAGCAAGCGAATTTAACATTCGTGTCAGTCAGCTGTTGGCTCTCACGCTGGTCAATAGAATCTTCCTGGCTATTCGTGGCAGCCACCTAATAGGCTCTCACTCTGGCCAGTAGAAAATGGCCGCAAACTACATGAAAACTGCCGTAGAAGCATGAAAAAATCGATTATTTCCACTATCGATGGGAGTTGGGAAATGCAAAGTCGGTCTTGGCCTTCCCGCTAACTCTGGAACATGTGCATGTAAATTTTGGTGCAAATCCGTCGAAAATTGCGGCCGTGCATTCCTCACACACACACACACACACACACACACACACACACACACACACACACACACACACACACACATCTTGCCTTTTATAGATATAGATGTAAACTCTTCAGTCTTGGACAATGGTCAACAGCTCGGAATTGGAAATCAGAAAAGTCAAGGTCAGATTCCAATCGGGTCTGTTATATTTTTTTAACGCGTAAATACCATGGGAAAGTTATGAATTCACCTCTTTTTTCCCAAAAGACATGGGTTAACCCACAGAAATCTCAGTAGTAAAGCATTAACATCTCTGAAAAAAATCTTGCAATCTAAAAATATATTGTGGATTCAAATTATCTGTAAAGGGTTGATAAACCCAAATCAATCAAACCTACTACCTCCTCCTACATTCATATCACACACCTTATTAAGTAACCCTCTACCTTGAGTGACACTCGAGCCTTGTATTCAGCATAAAAAACGCTTACCTATCGAGGCATTCTTGTGTTACTCTCCTTTTGGGGTTGTTATGGGGGCAAAGGTGAAACTCAAAGTATCCTTTATGATTTGCTGTGATTTGTACGAGGACATTTAAAATACCCCCCGTTTTGTATGTTCTGGTGATGATCCCTTGAGCAAAGGGACCCCCGGCTTCACTTTCCCGGTACCCATCGTAGGGGTCGCCACAAATGCCGCATTTACCGTCATTTTTGCCGAACTGAACCTGCAAAGGAAATAAAAAATATATATTTCCGCGAAAATAGAATGTTTAATGAAAAAAAAAAATTTCAATGAAAAATATCTTTTTAAAAAAAATCATTTCACTCCAAGCAAGGTGAGAATGCCACTAGTACGCAGGGGTTTACAGGGTGTGAAAGTGAGAGAAAAGACTGAGTATAGGGAGGATTGAGGAAAGGACAAAAGATGAACGGGATTCAAGAAGATAGAAGGTGGCGATGGATGTTGCATTTAAATTTTGTTAATCATTTCACCCCAAGCAAGGTGAGAATGCCACTAGTACTCAAGGGTTTACAGGGAGTGAAAGTGAGAGAAAAGACTGAGTATAGGGAGGATTGAGGAAAGGACAAAAGATGAACGGGATTCAAGTAGATAGTAGATGGCGATTGACGTTGCACCTAAATTTTTGAAGATTTTAGTTATCAGGGAAGCAAGGAAACGGAAGGGAGTTCCATGGACAGGAAGTGCAAGAAAAGAAACTGTTGGTGTAGATGTGACGGTTGCGTTTAGCTACTTCAAAAGTAAGAGGGTGAGACCTAGATACCAATCTAGTAGCATGCTTAAATTCATGTAGTCGGAAAAAAATCATGGATTCAGGATAATTCAGCTCTATATGCGATGAGGTATTGTAACTATTTACACCATTCGGAATGTTGTCCACATCTTTAATTACACATTCACGACGTTTCGGCTGTTATAAACTCCGACCTTCTGCAGAATCTGTCTATATTTCTGAGCTGAAGTATTGTAACTATTTACACCATTCGGAATGTTGTCCTCATCTTTACCGACACACTCACGACGTTTCGGCTGTTGTAAACTCTGGCCTTCTGCAGAACCTGTCTATATTTCTGAGCTGAGGTATTGTAACTATTTACACCACTCGAAATGTCCTCATCTTTTTGACACATTCACGACGTTTCGGCTGTTGTAAACTCCGGCCTTCTGCAGAATCTGTCTATATTTCTGAGCTGAGGTATTGTAACTATTTACACCATTCGGAATGTTGTCCTCTTCTTTAGTGACACATTCACGATGTTTCGGCCATTGCACGTTCCGTCCTTCTTCAGGTAATACTTACTGGAATTGCGAACTGAACTCTTTATTTAGGCCACATTTTGTTCTAAACTAGATAACTCTCCAAGTTTTTTATTCACTTCGCTGACGCCAGGGATTGAACTCAAAACTCTTTGGATCAAGTCACTTTTTGGATCAATCAATCAACGCTTTTATCTACTGGGCCATGTTTCCATGCGGTTGAATTTTTGGAAGCTTATAAACCTAATGTCTCAGTAACCATTTTTTTTTACCATTTTCGATATTCCAACAAATATCCCCTGAAAAAGGCCGAATCGTACAACGGCTGAAACGTCGTGAACGTGGAAGTAAAGATGAGGACAATAGACAATTAACATGATTTATCCATTTTCATGTCTTTTAGTCTATTAATATCCACCATTCCATTATTTGGACGTTGGACATGAATGGGTTATAGATTCCTTCCCGATGGACGCTTAGGTGATCATGGCTCTTTTCAATTCATGATTGACTAAGCAGAAGAATTCACACAGTAGGACGCCGTTTCTTTCTGCTGTAGACTGGTTACAAACCAAGGCTACAGAACCCAGTCTGTCTTGCTATTTAACCCATAGTTTAGAGGGTTAAACATAAAACCGATAAATAATATCGGACTTTTATAAAGCTACTAGAAATAACCGTGAACATTTCACCGTTTTCCTATTTTGATTTTCTGATGAATCTTAATTATTAAGTTAATAATGGAATAAGTTGATGGCGAGTTCTACGACAACAAAATATCTGTAGAAATTCCCCAATCACGTCGTCAAATATTTGAGCTTAACAACTTTAACAAAATATTGCAATTACAGTCATAAATATGAATGCTGGTCGTTATTTTAAGAAGTAAGGGGGTACAAATGAAAGTGGATAAAAATGAGAACTTTTTCCATTTAAATGAATCAGAGGTTAAACACTTCTTTCTTTCTAATTTTTTATCTTTCTTTTTCTCACTGAAACCAAGCAGCGTCTCTGATATGTCTTTTCTGTCTTTCACCCGTGATCAAAACGGAATAGTACATTATTTATAAGGTATTGGTAGAAGACGTTAGACTTTCTTTCTTTTCCTCACTGAAACCAAGCAGCGTCTCTAATATGTCTTTTCCGTCTTTCACCCGCGATCAAAACGGAATAGTCCATTATTTATTAGATATTGGCAGACTATGTTAGACACATCTTTCTTTCTTGCTTTCTTTCTTTCCCTCTTTCTTTCTTTCTTTCTTTCTTTCTTTCTTTCTTTCTTTCTTTCTGTTATGGGACCTTACCCATAATAACATAATGGACTATTCCATACGTAATAAATATTGCGCCTCAAGAGGAAGCAGGGAGTTCAGTCCGAAGTCGGGAGACCGGCTGATCGGTTAAACTCTCTGCCTTCGGGCGGGGAGGAACCCGAACGAGGCTACGCCGAAGGGCGGAGTCACTTTCGGGGAGGTAAACCGACCCTGAACCCGTTTATACGGGCTCAAAGGGCATATTTTTGAGATTCCACGTTAAACCGGCCTTGTGCCACATGATGCCCTCGTCGGGGGGGGGGGTGACTAAATACGGTTCAGTCTGAAGTCTGGATTGAAGTCCGTCAGAAGTCTGTCAGTCAGTCAGAGCGAGCGAGTCAGTCAGTCGAGTCAGAGGCAGTCCGAAACAGAGTCGCGTTCAAACCATTACTACTAAACCTGATTGTTTGTACTAAGACTATCTTATTCCTCTGTATATATTCCTGTTTGTAATATATCTGTGTTATTCCATATCCGCCTTCGAGTTCTTCTTTATTGGTTTTACCTTGGACTATCACCCGGGGTACAAAGAACCGGACCATAAGAGTTTCTTTCTTTCTTTTTCTCACTGAAACCAAGCAGCGTCTCTGATATGTCTTTTCCGCCTTTCCCCCGTGATCAAAACAGAATAGTCTATTATTTATGATATATTGGCAGGACGTAAGAGATGAGCAAACAGAATTATAATATAATATAATAATATAATTATTTCTGGATTTTAGAAACATATAAACAATACCGAATTTTTATTTTTATGATTAATATCGGACATTACGGTCGCCATTAATAGGGAAAAATTAAACATTAATACTTGATTCGTGTATTATTTTGCTTCCGGCCAGATCACGTTGAAACCACGGTGCCCGTGCGATCACCTAAGTTAAGCAATGTCGAGCCTGGTCATTACCTAGATGGGTGACCGCTTGGGAATACCAGGTACTGTAACCTTGGATGTGCGGGTGGTGTAATGAATAAAGGCTCGGAATTGGAAATCAGAGAGCCGAGTTCCAATTCCAGTTGGGTTCGTTATATTCACTTACGCGCAAATACCCTTGGGAAAGGTATGAACCCTTTTGTTCTTTCGCTAGCTATGGGTTAATTTTGGTTCTCTGTGTCGCGCCAGAAGGTTCTTCTCGCCGGAGTCCATCCTTCAAATCTACAAATCAACCATTCGTCTATGCATGGAATACTGCTGCCATATATGGTCTGGTGCTCCCGCTGTTCATTTCGAGGTCCCAGACAAAATCCACAGACGGATATGCAATGTGATTGGTCCTGATCTGGCATCCCATCTACAATCACTATCTCGCACACGTGCTGTGGCTTCCCTCTGTCTTTTCTACAAGTAATTTCATGGCAACTGTTCCAACAAGTTACTTTTTCTGGTTCCCAAACTGTATGAATTTAAGCGTACTGCTAGGTTGGCATCTCGGTCCCACCCTTTCACTGTCGAAACAACTAAATATAACCATCTCTTCTACTCCAACAGCTTCTTATCTCGCACCTCTCGTCAATGGAACTCCTTTCCTATCACTTGCTTCCCTGATAGCTATAATCTTCAAATATTCAAATGTAATGTCAATCGACATCTCCTGATGCCTTGACCTTGATCCCTGTCCTTCTCTTTATCCTTTTCCCAAACACTCCTCTTTACTCTTACTATCACTCTCTGTAACCCGTTGCGTGTTAGTGGCACTCCCGCGTTGCTTGGGGTCATTTGCTTTAAAAAATATCATTGTATCACAAAATCTTATTATTTCCAAAAAACAAATTCTTTTTATCTGAAAATATTTTCTGGCTTTAAATAACCTACAAATAGTTGATAAGCTGAAGAAAACGAATTAATTTATTGTTGTGGTACGATCCACCTAATTTACATAGTGGAGTACCGACCATATAAATATGGGTTGGTACCGGGAAGACGAGGGGAGTAACAAGAGATCCAATCCAGAGACTCTGCCCGACTGCGATTAATTCAACCCATTCTACAGGAACAGTCTTCCCAAGAATATACCAAAACTAACTGTAAATATTGTGTACCTTTTCCTTGTTTCAATACATTTTGTTTACGTACATTTTGTGTTGTATTATTATTATTCCATGCTTATCCAAGCTTCAACATTTATCATTTTTATTATTAACTAGTAAATGCCTACTTATTGGAATTTTATTCCAATATAGGAAAACATTAGTAGGGTTATTAGGTGCACAAGAAATTGAAGAGAAAAAATTATTTTAATCATTTCACCCCAAAATAAGGCAATAAAGCCACTAAGACACAAGGGTTTACTTTTTTTTGTTTTTTTCTTTTCAGTGGTGTTGACTCGGTACAGGGCCTGGAGCCACTCGAATTTGAAGGATACAGAATAAGCGACAAAGCGGTTGCTGCCTATATATGACAGCAGTACGCTATTTTCGGGCTGATTTGGCTCTTGTGGGTAACAGGAAGTGGGGAGGTAGTTACTGGAGTGGTACAGGGAACTGACCATTTCCTGAATAAGCGACACAGCTTATGCGAATATATGTCAAAGATGACGGTTAACCCTAGAGTTAAACAAGTTAAGATTGTATTGATCGGGGAAGCATCCTCTTGGGAGTCGGTTCCACAAGGCAGTGGTTCGGGGGAAGAAGCTGCTTGAGTGAAACTTGCATCTCACCAAGAGGGATGCGAATTAAATGAGGATGATTCTCCGTAGAGATAGCGATATAGCAGCGAAATGCTTGCGACGTCTCATCTTTGAGAAAAGGGGCTGGAACTAAGGAATGTAGTTCGTCTGAGCACTTTCCGTGGAAGTTGCGATAGAGCAGCGAGAGGCTTGCCACAATCCGACTGCGTGAGAGAGAGGTTAGAAGGTGGAAAATAATTTATCACCTACAAGAACTAGGAGACGCGTCTGGATTCTATAGAGTCCGGAGAGTGAGATCTCGGCAGCTCCTGCCCAAATATGGCAACAATACTCCATTTTCGGCCTGATCTGGCTCTTATAAACGTAGAGGATAACAGGAAGAGTCAGATACTTACTGGTGCGGTATAGGTTGCTGACCATTTTTCCAGCGTCTTTAGCAATGGATCTTATGCATGAGTTCCACTTGAAGTACAATTTACATTACAATGAATTATTCATACAAAAATTAAAATTAGTAAAGTTAATGATATAAAATGGTGAAATCCCTTCGCTAACAAAATTTTAAAGATGCATTAAGCTACCAATCACTCGATGAATGTTATGATCCTTGTTTTTTAAAATTATACAGTGTATCAGGTCTTCCTTAAATACGCAAGTACTTTCGACTGCACGTTCAGTCATCTTCAGGCATGGAAATTATTTTGTTTTTGGTAAAATTCAGGTAGCATCCGAGACGAAAAAATATAATGCGTTTCGAATTTATTTTTTTAAATGTGTTATTGATAACAACGCTAACTTTACTTTTAACTTTTGTATAAATGATTCATTGTAATATATATATATATATATATATATATATATATATATATATATATATATATATAATAAAGAAAGTCTTAAGATGTGCTATATTAATGGGATAAAGTGCTCAATATCATATATATATATATATATATATATATATATATATATATAATGTAAAAGAATAAATGTAGAAAGTACTCTACTATGAAGGGATCAAAATATCAAAATGAGAGAAAGAACAGATGATATTCTATTATAATAATATGCTGCTCTACTTTGCATTGAGCACTTTTTAAAAGGTAAATGCTATGAACAGCCGAATTTTACTTCATCTGTTCTTTCTTTCTTTCATTTGGATATATATATATATATATATATATATATATATATATATATATATATATATATAATATCATTTTGATAATTAGTAAAGAATAAGATATTAACCGGAAGTAGCAATAATCATGATTATTGATACTTCCGGTTAATATCTTATTCTTACATAACCAGTAAGAATAGTTTCGGCAAAAAAAGCTTTTAGCAAAGATCTTTGATTATTCAAATTGAACCCCCATATATATATATATATATATATATATATATATATATATATATATAAAGCCTTCTTTGATGAACTTCGCGGTTCTGGGTTATGTAAACACAATATATTATTTTGAAAACACATGACACAAAGTGGATGTTCCACACTTTGCGTCATTTGTATGTCAGATGACGACCCAAACTTCGTTATCATTCCGGACACACGTTTCTCATTTTACATTAGTCACCGTCTTTTGTAATTAAAAAAAAAAAAAGTGGGAGGGAAAAAATATCGTCTGTTGAGATCCGCCCATTTCAATTGTCCGCCATATTTTTTTTTAGAAGAATCTAGGCTGAATTTTATTTCATAAAAGCGTATCTTGGGATACACATTGGGTGGATGAAGACATCTTTATAGATTTTTTAAATCTTTTTAAACAAATGTCTGTCCCATGAGAAGGAAAGAAATAATGGTGATTGTTCAGAGTGTTTTTCTAACCTGAATAGCAGGACTTGATGGCACGACTAAGTGTTTGTTTCTCTAACAGACGGCTGTAAATATTACAGCTTTTCATGTTGAAAATACTTTCGATGACCAAATAATTCTTTGAAATTCCCTGATTACGCTGCAGGTTAAGCAAAAAGCAGACAATATACGTTCATTATCATTACATCGACAAACATAACATTTACGCAAAATAACAAATTAAAAAAACAAACAAACAACAGTAACAGGACTTATGCACATGTCCACAAACTATTAAGTTTGAGAGCCAGTTACGCACACACTTATATATATATATATATATATATATATATATATATATATATATATATATATATATGCTAGACGCAATCGTCAGGCCGCCTGACGATTGCGTCTAAGCATGAAACAGCCTGTCGCCTCTGAATGTTGACTTCAATTTTCACTTTTATATTTACATACTATCTCTATATATATATATATATATATATATATATATATATATATATATATATATATATATATATATGGATTAGTGGATAGCGGCTCGGATTAAGGAATCGGAGAGCCGAGGTCGAATTCATTACATTCACTCACGCGCTAATAAACTTGGGAAAGGTATTAATCCTCTTCTTCTAAATTATGACCATGGAATATTAGTGTTTAAGCCTTTTTATTATATATATTATAAATAAATTGATTTAAAATATGGTTTTTTTTCGCTACACAGTTCTAACCATGTTTCAAAAATGGAAGCTAAAAGCTCCGAATTTGATTTTGTAATTAAATTAAAGACGTTAGTTCCATTTCATCCTCAAGCGAATTTTCATTAAATAATATAGACAAGAGTTGTCTATTTATTTTATGTAAATTCTTTTCATAACGTCTGATAAGCTTAATAACATTATCATTAAACGAAGAAAGAATATCACAATATTGATCCATATTTTTTAATCCAGTCTAAGCTTTCGGCTAAATAATTGTCGGACTTCGTCCATTTCACAATGTATGACGTCATTTGTTTACATTTGGATACGCAGTGAGCAGATACGAATGAATGAGAGACAATCATGGAGAACTGTGTTTAAAACCAGTAAAATCGACCTTGCTAACCGAACGCTCATCTGTGAGTGAAATTGGGTAGACGGAAGCAAGAAGCCACAAGTCATCGTGACCGAGAGCTTGAGAGTGCTGGCCATGTTCAAATTGTTGATCACACTAGATAACATGCTCTTTCCCAGAAACTGTAACTGTAACCAGAAACTGTAACTAATGTCAGCTCAGCATAGTTACAGTATAAACCACAGGTAGGCTTTGTGTGTGTTGAACAAACACAAATGCCCCTGAGCAAGCGTCTGCAACAGGGATTGATTAGCCATCCTAGGAGACGGGTATCCTCGAATACGAGTGGCCAGCTAAACATACATACATACATCCATCCATAGATATGGAACTCAATCCACCCTTTGACAGGTCTTGTTTCTCATCCT